GGTGAATTTAGAGGCTAACTTAATACGGCGATATGAGCAACAGAGGTGAACTATGCCAGCGCTTCCTCCTGTCCCCTTGTGTTTTTGTCCCATAATGACATGCGTAGCCGTGAAATGGCACATACACAGAGCAAAGACACGTACAGCAACAGGACCTGTCATGTCATTGTGTCTTTCTTCACTCTGTGTAAGTGTAATTTCGTGGCTAAGTATGTCAATGAGCAAGTATCAACTAGGCCAATAAAATGTCTTCTCGAAACTTATTTGGATGTGCTGTTCCCACCGCCTTAACTAGCTCCCTACTCTGTGAGACGTTGAAATAGTCAATTTCTCAAAGAGTGATTAGGTGAGACCGTAAAAAAATAACCGGAGAACCGGGAAGTGGCTGTAACGTCTACGGCGATCGAAAGCAGCATTCGATCACTTGTGGTGTTTTTGTCATGCTCTTCGCCGCGCTTTTTCCTCGCTCTTCGCGCGCCTTTTAGCGACGAGGAAGTGTGTACACCGTACACCTCTTCCGTTTCCTACTTACGGGAACGCCACATTCAATGCTTACTTCGGTCGATTCCCTGAGTGGTCCCTCGTACTCGATTCAACACACGCAAACGCAACGGGAGGTAGATATGCCATTTCCTGTTTTCAAGCGTCACGCGACCCGCTCATCGTGCTATGCAGTCCCGAGCATGTCATATACGAGTTGGCTCGTATTACGTATACCCCAAAAGGTTAGAGCGTGAAATTGCTTTCCGGGTCTGTGTTTTCGAATGCAGTCGACCACCCGCACCCTAAATCGATCTACATTTACCTGTGCGTTTCTCTGGGGGCGTGCCCTGTCACGGCACGCGACTAAAGAAGCAGACACAATCGAAAAAGGGTCACGTGGAATGGTCATAGCTGGTACGACAGTGCCGTAAACGAAGTTTTCGCTGATGTTACAGGTCTACTTTTACACGCTAGAAACATGGCCACATTCCGCGGAACGTCGTAAAATGGTCGGGGGCGGGTACGGTACATATTGGTCATTTTTCGCAGTACATCTCAATCAAAATTCCGCCGCCGTTTGCCTTAAACGCTTGGACAAATGAGGTCAACGAATACTGGGAAGGACAAAGTGAGACATTGATTCGATATTGCGAATTCGGGCCATTTATGCTTAAGTCTTGTATTTAACATTGCAACGTTGGGTATCCCTGTAGCAAAATTCTGAACCTGAATGAAAATTTTGCTTCTAGAGTCATTAAAACGCCATTACAGGTAAAAAAAAATCTCAGAATGCACCAAGTCGTGCAAGGTTGATTCACAGCAGAGCTCGTGAGGACCTAGTTGCTGGCCCTGGCATGGCTAGGCTTTAACCCTCTCACCTGTCTGTTTGCCGTCCTTTGCTATACTATACTAGTCATAGTAATGTTTGCTTTCCTTTTGTAACTTTCTTGAATCTGTGTCTTTCTATCTCCTTATCTTTGTCTATTTGTTTGTCTTTCCCTATTTTGCCGTCTTTCTTGCCTCTCATTCTCTCCATTTGCGCTTTCTCTTTCCTTCTATTTATCTCCGAAGTTGATCTCTCACATTCTCTCTCTTTTTTATTTTAGAAAGTCTACCTTTACAAATAATCATTCGTATTCAAAAGTTCACGTGCAAGTTCACTTCATGTAAAGTCAACTAATGAGCAGTGTTCAGGTTCACAAATTTACCTATCAAGGTTCGGTGGTTGGCCAAGCCTGAGGCCTGTTGCACGAAGGTGACGACGACGGTTTAATTGTGGACCCGTGCAAGTTCCTAACAAGTGTGTGGCAGTTATATTGTGAATTGGGGCGTCCCAAAATGGGCAGGATGTAAAGTACGGGTCGCGGTACTTTTCCGTCCAAAAGGGGTTCACGGATGGGGCGAGTGCAATGCAAATACGAAGCCTCCCAACGTAACCTCCTCTCGCCGGGTGAAACCACCAGGGAGGTATGATCCACTTCTATCTTCGCTCTCTGCTCGGCCATGAAAGCTGTGCTGTTCGGTTCCAATAGCACGCATGTGTCATAGAAATCGGAAAGATCTCACTACTCACATCACTGATAAACTAAACATTAACAAGCTAACACTCTTGGGACTAATACTGGTCGATTAGGGGCCTCCCCTTTTAGCTTTTCTTCTTGACCATCTGTACTGAGCATCCGGGCTGATTAGTGTTTGCCCAGCAAAAAAGTTAATGCAGTGATGTTCTTTAAAGGCACTGCTTGTTTTTCGAAGTTTATTACACAGGTTTAGAAATTTGAGCTTTCGAGTTCTGCTGCAAGCTTACAGGATTCATTCTGTCTTTTTTTTTACATAAGCTTGATGTTTATTACATATAAGAGTGGCTTTGATACATGTATTACCATAAAATCAGTTATAGCAAAAGTATCAAATGATCTGTTTTCGGGCAAATTTTGGCAGTTATGTTGCGTTAATGCACGTTACAGTTTTAAGCTAGTAGAAGCTCGCGGCAAACATGTTTCTGCACTCAGTGATAACGAGGTGATCCATGCGCCATAACACACGCCAAATAGCGTGACTACTTAACGTTAGCGTAACTGCGACGTTATGCGTGAACCTCATAATGAAGAAGGATGACCGCGTAGTATGAATAGTTCAGACGTACCTGAGCCAGCGGGATTGAGCACAAAAATGAAGAGCAGCGCTGCAATGCCTGCATTTATTCTAATGCTTATCATCGTGCCCTGTTTTGAGGCTTGTGATGTTACGCTGTGATATGGACAGTGAGGAAACCAGCAACAACCAGTAATTTTTCAACGGCCCGATGATGTGAGCCCAATTCTCGCTATGTTGGTTTCACCTGCAACACTACAAGCGGGCCTCATTATTGTTTCAGCTCGAGTGTAGAAATTCACGCACATACAGCCAAAATATGGAAACCTGAACGTTACCAGCGCTTGAAAAGCGTATGCGATTGACGTTTAACAGCATTGAAAGAAGGGATTCAATCGTGAATTAGATCGAGCTAAGGTCTTTAGTTCTATGTAGTCTCGTGAAAGGAGATCCTCTAAGACAACTGTCCTCATTGTTAAAGTTTCCGATGCTTCATATCGTTGTATTGAAGCTATGCAAGCACACCTGCGAAGCCGTTTCTCAAAGGAACGTGTCAGGCATCGGTTCTGCGAAACACCTGTTTTTGCACTATCAAGAGGCAAGCTTCGAAAATATGGAGGTCTACTGTTTCATGAGCACTGTGATTGGTACAGTCCATGCAGTCCAGAACAATTTATCAAGTTGTCTGTGCTTTGAGCGCTCGCCAAGGAGACAGTATCGTTTGTCTGATTTTAACGATGATATGTAGCATAATATGATGATTCTACGTTTTTATATTTTCTCGATTGAGTTGAATTTTAACGCAGATAGTCGCGAATAAAGTTTAACAAAAAAGTGAAAGTATTTCACGTTAGAACAATTTCCGTGAAGGGTGCATCAAACAAAAAAAAAAAACGCGCAACATAGTTAGTAATACAGTTATAGTAATGAAATACAGCTATACAATGCAGTTACTAATAAAATGGCTATCGTCGGGGCCATTTAATCACGAAAGACGCGAAAACTTTCCAGGCTAGCTGAATATTGAACATATGACAGACATTTTGGCACTCCAAAACGCCACAACATTTCTACCGAGGCTTTCGAAGTTTGTGGCTAAGCGCTAAGCACTCTCTTTAGCCTTTGTCTTCAGTTAGTTCAATCGTTCGTCGATGTGTTCAAATTGACTTTGAAGGCGCAGTTCTTACGTGTTCCGTTCCTGCGTTAAGCGATGTCACCGTCGCCATTGCCGTTACCATTGCCATCGTGACAGACGTGAAAAAATAAAATAAGAAAAAAAAACTACCCAGTACCTAGCGAAATTTGAAAGCGGACCTTCTCTGTGTCAGTCGGGTATTCTACGACAGGGTCATGCTGGTGCTCGAAACTCGATCATTTGCGAAAAGACTGCATTCAGGTGTCATTTCAGACAAGGGAGCGTGCTAGCCTACGTGGTATAGCGTGGTATAGCAGCGTTTTATAACAACCAGTGGTCACACAATGCTAATTGTAGCTTGTGGTTAATATGTTCCCACCCGCTGTAGAGTGTGCTCAGCCATAATTCTTCATTGTCACCGGTCGCATGCAGAATCAACAAAGTGCACACAATACCTTATGAACGTGAGGTGGGTACCTTGCTTATGCACAGAAAGACGAATAATGGCGTAAACAGGGTGTTATTTTACTTCAAAAAGTTATCATTATGGCGTACATTGTTGGACCCCTTGTCAGAACCCAAAATTTGAAAACAGTCGGCTTTTCTCCCAATACAACACAGCACTCGGAATTCGAATTGGGTACTATCATAATCGTCAGTGAATTTCGCACTTTGTTTGGATACAGTTGAAAATATTTTATTTAAGTGCGAACGAAAATGAAGACTTGAGAGGAGATGCTGCTCGAAAAGTGGCCTGTTTTTGTGTGTGTGTGAAAATTGTCGGCTTTTGATATTTCGCACCGTAAAATTATGCTTAGTCGTTAAAATTTTATTTCCCGTAATATCAGGGCTGAATTTGCATTTAAAAATAGGTGAAACATGAATTTTATCGAGATAATGTCAGTCCGTGCTTAGCCACAGCAGTTGCTGCAGGGCCACAGTGTGAATTACCGATGACAGATGGCTCTGAAGTTGAGTGTGGTAAAGAGGAAGGCACAAACCATCTGGCCGAGCAGAAAGGCACCAAACTTTGTGAACGGCCTCTAGCTCCTCTATGTGGAAATAAGCCGAAAGATGATGCGACACATCAGTGCCGTGTTGCACACATGTTGGCTTGGCATGACTGCCATGTGGTGTCGATGAATCATGTCGACAAATCATGTGGTGCCGATAAATCAAGGCCAGAACCGTGTGTCATCAGTGATTCGTTGTAATGCATGTCACCACTAGATGGGCAGTTAGCAACATTGATACATGATGTATGTACGTACATTAACTGAGATGCCCGAGGATGTAACGATTATGTTTTTATTACTTAATACAACCTATTAGGTCTGACGCCAGATGCCTTCATCAGTGGCATGCCGAACACCGCGTCGTTTTTTTACTTCAGAAGGAATCTCTAAGTTTCTGCTTTGCGAGCATCTGGAAGAGAACAAGATAAAAAAAGGGAGCATATTTATTGTGGGAAAGCAGCATGGGCTTTTTACACCACTAATTTCTACGTATTCACGAAGGCGAAATGCTGGATGCGTACAATGTTTGCGCACGGTAAAGAATACGATATTGTCGGAATTTTCAGACACTCCTTTGTGGCGTGCCTCGTAATCACATCGTGGATTTGGCACTTAAAACATCGCACGGTTCTTTTTATGTAGTCTTCGTAATTCCTGACGAAGTTTTTGTTAAACTGACACACTGCTTTCTAGCGAAGCTCTTAACGACTAGAACCAAATTTAATAATATCTCGTCGAAATGACCCTTGCCTTTTGATATATCTTTTTAATGAGGTTACTTCAGGTAAGTGCCTGAAGTAACCACCCCTAGAAAATTCGGCACGACGCTTTATTATTCGGGTTTTGCCATGCATTCCACGGTCTTATTGGGAAAAGACTGTATCGAACGGTACATTACGCTCTGAGGTTGTATTAAATAATTGATCACTGACGGATTAGTTTGAATATTTGCAGTGGCCTAATACATTATCTCGGGTGTAAGAAGACAACAGTGCATGCAAATTTAAAAAAAAGTAGCTAAGCACGAAAAGTAAACAAACAAAGAGAAAAACAAATTATTACAAAGGACCACACAAGTGAGCACGCTGCTGAACACTAAACAATAGACTGTGGGGCACCGGCCCTTAGTAATTTGTTTAGGCAGTTGACTCCCTATTGTGTGATCGTGAAGGGGAAAATGAGCCGCGAAAGTCATTTGTTAGGCAGTCAATTCATCTTATTCTCCGAGAGTGATTGCGTCATTCACGAAAGAAAACAGAGGGCACAAAAAAGCGAGCAAGGATGAGCATGCCAAACCGGCTTCGAGATCGCTTATAAAAAAAGGAAACCAGCTAAAAAAAAAAAAGCCTTGGCATTGAATAACCCCGCAACATCCAGACAGGCCAAGCGCTTGTTGTGTGTGGTTGTTCTTCGCTGTCTTTGTTATTTAACGTGATAGCATTAAAGAGTTTGTTTCACAGAATTTCGGCGTCGGCATCGGAGGCGTTGGTTGTGAGTGAAGATTGATCTTCTTTGCGTAACTAAAAATCCCGAAAGCGAGGTTTATATACCCCCCAATTTTTTTTCACTGTTTTTTTCCGGTTCTGAGTGGAGATTGCACCCGAGTCGTTCACGTGGCAAGCGGGTGGTCTATACCACTCTGACACGCGTATACACTTGTTAATACAGTGAAAAAAACTTTACGTTTTTGGTAGTGCTGTGAAAGTAACTTTCATGCTTCACAAACATACAACGCGTTACTGTACAATACAAGATGAAATGTTACATAATAATGCGTGGCACAAGTTTACATTGCCATGAACGTCAGAACATGTCGTTATCATAATGTTTTCATGGCTTGAAGCCGATTATCCACTACAAAAGGTAGACACGTTATTGCGCCACGTAGTGGGTACATATCAAGTTGAAAAAGGTTTCACGTACTATGTGTTTGAAGGAAGTACTAGATACAGGATATCAATATCGCCTTCAACTCTCATAGGCGAAACTTAACGATCCCTAAATTAATTTGCCTTCTTCTTTTCTCTTGCAATAGTGCAAACCAACTTCTACAACCTATGTTATTTGGGACCGCTTGTTTGATACGTAGACTGCAATCGGTGCCTTAAATTTGTAAAGACAGGAGGATGTTTGTCAGAACGGCTAGAAGGGCTCCACTAGACGGTTCTGTAAATGTGCTTTGACCGTATGAACGAGACTTGCAGTTCTCGGCACTTCTAAAGGTCTCCCCCTGAATTCACTCGTTCCCAACAAGCGCAATGACGCAGTTTGACATTTTCGTGTTTCCTTTGGTGGTGCTCCTGTTCTCTTGTTTTATGATATTTCTCTATTGCTCCCCCGTGACTTTGGGTCTTAGTTCCTTAATGGTTGCACAAATTAAAGCCACCTTTTTTTTCTGTTGGGTAGAGTATTATATCTCTCCAACCCCAATCCTATCCACGATTTTCTCTTTTTTTTATTTAAGCGCAACATAGTTGTCAACCTGCCTACACACATCATAGTCATATTGTGGTTTTGGGATGTTATACCTTACATATCAATCAATCAATCAATCAATCAATCAATCAATCAATCAATCAATCAATCAACCTACCTACGCACAAGCTGACCTCCCTACTTTGCCATCCGTTGTCCCTTATCCTCGGTTGACAGACAGGCAGTTAGTCAGTTATGTATACATACATACATACATACATACATACATACATACATACATACATACATACATACATACATACATACATACATACATGCATACGTACATGCATACATGCATATGTACATGCATACATGCATATGTACATGCATACATGCATATGTACATGCATACATGCATATATACATGCATACATGCATATGTACATGCATACATGCATACATACATACATACATACATACATACATACATACATACATACATACATACATACATACATACACATACATACAGAGATAGATAAATAGACAGACAGACAGACGGACGGACGGACGGACGGACGGACAGACAGACGGACGGACGGACAGACGGACAGACGGATAGACGGACAGATAGATAGACGGACAGACGGATGGACAGATGGATAGACAGACAGACGGATGGATAGATGGATAGACAGACAGACGGATGGACAGATGGATAGACAGACAGACGGATGGATAGATGGATAGACAGACAGACGGATGGATAGATGGATAGACAGACAGACGGATGGATAGATGGATAGACAGACAGACGGATGGATAGATGGATAGACAGACAGACGGATGGATAGATGGATAGACAGACAGACGGATGGATAGATGGATAGACAGACAGACAGACGGATGGATAGATGGATAGACAGACAGACGGATGGATGGATGGATGGATGGATAGACAGACAGACGGATGGATGGATGGATGGATGGATGGATAGACGACAGGACGATGGATGATGGAGGTAGACAGAAGACGGATGGATGGATGGATAGACAGACAGACGGATGGATGGATGGATAGACAGACAGACGGATGGATGGATGGATAGACAGACAGACGGATGGATGGATGGATAGACAGACAGACGGATGGATGGATGGATAGACAGACAGACGGATGGATGGATGGATAGACAGACAGACGGACGGATGGATGGATGGACAGACAGACGGACGGATGGATGGACAGACAGACGGACGGATGGATGGACAGACAGACGGACGGATGGATGGACAGACAGACGGATGGATGGATGGACAGACAGACGGATGGATGGATGGACAGACAGACGGATGGATGGATGGATAGACAGACGGATGGATGGATGGATAGACAGACGGATGGATGGATGGATAGACAGACGGATGGATAGACAGACGGATGGATGGATGGACAGACGGATGGATGGACAGACGGATGGATGGATGGACAGACGGATGGATGGATGGACAGACGGATGGATGGATGGACAGACGGATGGATGGATGGACAGACGGATGGATGGATGGATAGACAGATGGATGGATAGATAGATAGATGGATGGATAGATAGATAGATGGATGGATAGATAGATGGATGGATAGATAGATGGATAGATAGATAGATAGATGCCCGTACACACCGTGCATATCTGGTCCATGAGGTCCGGAGTGCAGTCTACGCGCGTAGCTCTCTGTTTCTTGCAGTAGTAGAAGTGATCGTACGAGCCTTCCATGGAGAAGTAGACGGGCTCGCCAGGCTTACGATAGATGTGCGGCAGGTCGATCTTCTTGCAGTGTTTGTTCGCAAAATCCAGCTCCATTTGGTCTGAAAAAAAAAAAAAGATTTCATCTCGATAGAATTAATGGATTTCACGGTAAGCGTGGACGACAGGCAACAGAGATATGGCTTGTGTTGGAGTCGTTTACCTGCAGGAGGCACCTGCCTTTTAGACGAAGCAGTAAATATATTGGAAAACAGCCTTCCTTTTTGTTAGGTACATGTAATTGCCGAATATTTGAATCCAACTGAATGCGAGTATCTTGAAGAAATATTTACGACCTTTCAGTCATGTTCACGTTTATAAGCAACTGAAAGAAGTTTGTGCTTCAGATGTCTCGTAAAATAAGAAGAAAAACGTTTAGTTGACACTGTTTTATAATACCATTTGCAACAGAATGTCCCATCAAGTAAGGAAAAAAAAAACAGATATGCAGTGGCTGTTGGCTACATTGTGCACTGCGACCACACAAGTACTGATTGCCGTCAGATGATGCGTATATCTAGACATAATGAGCTGGCGGAATGAAAATCAGCTCAATCATCATTGTACTTGCATGCTAATTACTCGCCCACACGTATGTGGATTTGTACGCTCAAGCCCTCATTCATGTTACTACTCACAGTGTTTAGCATCAACAATGTGGCCACGCTTGCAATCGCCTCCATTGGCACTTTCTGGTGAATGGTCATGGTTGTATTTATGTGCACTACGTGAAACTAGTAGAGCTATACGTCACGTGATTTCTTATGTCCTTTCAACATCACTATCACTCTGGTTCGTGCTAATATTACCAACGACATCCTGACACTCGCGTAACACTCACCGGTACTCTGTTGTAGTCCCATGCGTCCACGTCCGTGAGCATTTGTTAACTTCTCGTTTCAAAATTTCGAAATGTGTAAAAAACGAACATGGACTAACTTGCTTTAGAATCAGTAGTAAAACGTAGTAGACGCGGGCGTTGAAAAATTAAAAAAGAAAACAACAAAACAAAACAAAATAAAGTGTAAACAAGAGCATGTGCTACACATCTTTTTTTACATTTCTCATTTTTCTTTTGTTAGGAGAAAATTGTTCTCGGTGATATTCATGTCAGGCTTTGTGCGCTATTTATCTTTTGATACGCCTATAAAAGGATTATTGATAGTTTCTGATTCCGCAAAACCTGATGCTGCGGCCATTAAGGTATGCATGACGTTAAATGTACATGTGATGTTTAACAGTATTAAAACTCCTAAGTGTTATTATGAATAATACTGACCATTGGGTGATTTAGCAGGAATTCATTGCGTTTTTTTTTCGCGCAACAAACACATGGACCCAAAAGAAATAGACACCAAGGGCGCAATCTAGTCCAGTCAACACTTTTTTTGTTTTTATGTTTTGTTCGCAGCACTAATGGGAAGTCTTTAGAGTTCGAAGGAGAGTTCCCCAATCTAGGCTTTAAGCCACACCATAAAAGCTATGATGGTCGCCGTGCACGCAAACGTGTAACGAGATGGGCACTGCTCACCTATCGAAGAGGCCAGAGATTGTGGCAGCAGTAGCAGTACGAACAGGGCCAACACATCAAGGGCGACGTAGAGGCGGCCGAAGCTCGTCGTAGCTGTCATTCTCGGAGGCACCCTCGCTTACGACCGTAGGGTTGCGGCGTCAGACGAGCCGTGTGATTGCCAGTTGACCGTTCCTTCGACGTTGCTCGCTAACTGGCCGGCTAACGGGCTTGCGCATCTCACGTCGACGGACCGACGGCCTCGGGGAGTTGGCTGATTGACTTCCGGTCATGACTCTGAATGTGTGGGCACCGCTGCTGCTCACACATCATTTCGAATTGTGATTGTGATTTACTACCCCGTATACAGATTCTGTAGCTAACAGGGTGGAGACAGTTAGCTGTTCTATCTATCTATCTATCTATCTATCTATCTATCTATCTATCTATCTATCTATCTATCTATCTATCTATCTATCTATCTATCTATCTATCTATCTATCTATCTATCTATCTATCTATCTATCTATCTATCTATCTATCTATCTATCTATCTATCTATCTATCTATCTATCTATCTATCTATCTATCTATCTATCTATCTATCTATCTATCTATCTATCTATCTATCTATCTATCTATCTATCTATCTATCTATCTATCTATCTATCTATCTATCTATCTATCTATCTATCTATCTATCTATCTTATCTATCTATCTATCTATCTATCTATCTATCTATCTATCATATCTGTCTGTCTGTCTGTCTGTCTGTCTGTCTGTCTGTCTGTCTGTCTGTCTGTCTGTCTGTCTGTCTGTCTGTCTGTCTGTCTGTCTGTCTGTCTGTCTGTCTGTCTGTCTGTCTGTCTGTCTGTCTGTCTGTCTGTCTGTCTGTCTGTCTGTCTGTCTGTCTGTCTGTCTGTCTGTAATTTTGCTGTTTTGCTCAGTGATGTTCAGCCATGCAAAATATTAAGCGCAACTTGACCGTTCACTTGTGACTAAGTGTGTACTGTTGACAGGATTCAAGAAAAAAAAAAAAGAGTACTACAAACTTTCGTTGACTTCTAATACAAATGGAAAAACTGACACTGGCAAGCGCACAAAAAGTTTGATATGCCCAATTTAGACTGAGCTTTTAACTGGGAATCACAATACATAAAACATTTGGGAAATTCCCGGGGTCTCTCATGAATTTAAGACTACTTGAAAACAATAGCGCAGGCGGGCTTTTAAAGACGGCATTTGTTTTTAAAGCAAATGCAGCAAAGCAGAGTGAAACGTTTGCCAAAGTCCGATGAATACGCTCTTTTGTACAAGATCAGGAATGAAGAAACACATCTAACTGTTGTGGCCTGGCATGTCGACAGAAATGGTAGCGCACCCACGAGCCTGCCATTGATTAACTTCTATAAGTAAAAAAAAAATCAAGGGGCAGAACAATTATCTCACACGTGGACTCCCCCGCGTAACGGATCGATGGGTGTCGGCTCTCCTTTGGTGATGAGCAGATAAGCTTCTTTTAAATATTTTCTTTTCGGCCGCTGCGCGCCATTTATCGTGGTAGCAATTATACAGATGCTGCCGGCGTAATTTCGCCATTGTCATCGCTGCCATTCCCCGGATATGTATACGCGTGCGTCTATATAAAAAAGGCACAAAGAAAAATTATTCGGAGGAAAAACATTCTGAAGGACCCTATCCGGGATTCCAACTAGTGACCTCTCGCTCCGCAGCGTGCTGCGCAGGCAGCTCAACCACGCGTAACGTTTTTTTTCTTTATTGCAATGACAATAAATTATACACACATGCACTTGTGCTACACATCACCCATAATCACGTGTATGGCTGGTTGCACTTGTGCACATTTGACTTTTTCAATGTACTTAATATACAAAGCATTTCATCGCTTGTCCCTCCATGCTCCAGCGCTGCTGCGAGCTTTTTCCAGCCCCGCTATACTCAACTACGAGCCACGCATGCGCGACAAAAGAGAGTTCTTCATAGACATCATTTACCGCTGGAGATACGTGGTTTATAGCTCGAACGTTGTTTATATCACACAACTCTTCTACTTTTTTTTTTAGTTTGAAGCTGTTGAAAGACGGAAAGTGTCCCTTTTTGTACCCTCTCGGGGTGTGGAACGAAAATTAGAAAAGTAACGCTAGCCGCACCGTCCACACCTAAGGTCTCCAGATATAGATAGTAGCACTAAACATTGTACCCTCCCCCCCCCCCCCCCCAAAAAAAAAAAACTTTCGGTCACCTTATTTAGCAGCTCCTAACATCATAACTGCAAGCACCTTTTCAAGTTTATTCCAGAGTAAGGAAAAAAAGTCTCTCGTCTTTTTCGGATAAATTGAACTTGCGTAAAATTTGAGGTAATCTCCTAAAATTTTTATGTAGCTCAAATGAACTTTATTTGAATATATTTTGCCAAATAAGGGAACAAAAGTTTAGAAAATCAGAGGGCTATCTTCTAAAGCTCTTCTTGCCCATCGATGATATTAAAGCACATTGGTGGATGAAACAGGATGTCATTAAGGACCTGCGCTTGCAAACAATGAAACGATCTTAGCCGCACCTTGCGTCACACGCCACTACGTGGCAGGAGACGCAGAGGTTTCACTCGACGTGCCGCAGTTCAAAGAAAAAGAAATATCCCAGAGCATCGGGTTCTACATTGTCGACACTTGCAGTGGGTTACTGAAACGCAAAGGCGTAATAACTGTGACAGTTGTTAGTTCATGGTTTTCTTGTTTGATGACCACAGTGACGGCCTTGAATAGTATGCTCTAGGAAGGGGGCATGAAAAGAAAGTGGGGTGAAGGGGACTAATGTCAGGGTTGGCTGGAGGGAAAGGACGAGAATGTGAAAGAGGCGGGGGAGTAAACCGTACCGTAACCATGCACAAGTGGGAGGAGAGAACTGAGGGTGAGGAGGAAGGAAAGGAGACGGGAAGATGTATAAAGAAACAAAGAAAAGAAACAAAATAAAAAATATAAATAAAGAATAAATAAATAAGTATTAATAAATGAAATCTGTGTTCGCTAGATGGGGCTCGCTCACCAGCTCTGCGGTTTACTCAGATTTCAAAGGTGTTGAACTGGCTTAAATTTTTTAAAAGTTTGTTTTACAGTTTGAAACAGTCTCTTGATAACTCAAGATTTTCACTATAGTCGGGCATACGCGGTATAATCTGTAATGATTTCCGCCTTATCAGCGCTATTCCTGGTTGGCGCACGTATACTTTTGCTGAGTCGACCCCGCAGTATCCTTTCCGTAACCCAGGATTCTACGTGCAGCTGTGTGCGCGTTAAGGCCCTTCGTGGGCGATTTATGGGCTAACGCTCCGCAAGGACCCTGATCTGACGTGGGGGCAGTTTCCATAGGCGGAATGATTTACGAGCCGGGACATGATAGATGCAGGAGCCTTCATTTATCAGCCCGTCGCCAGCTGCGCCTTGCCACTTTTTTATTAATTTTGTTTTTTTTCTTGCTCAAGTCGCCTGCGCTTTCAGCCTCCGCACGTTCTCTATCTTCTGTGAAGTTTGTGACGAGAAGCATGAACCCATAGCTGCTTGATCGAACTGACCGTTAGCAGTCGAAGCGATCGTCCCCCTTTTATGGAGCGCTCGTGGAAAGTTGTGTGCACTACCTCCGGGTGTCGCACTCAGAAGTTTAGTTGCCTGTGGTGCCCTTAACAGCTGAGAAGGGTCAGTTTTAGCTGTGACTAATTAATGCGAAAGTTTTACATAAGGCTAACGTGAACGTGGTTTCCAGCAAAGAGGCTGGTGTAGGTAGTGGAGGCAAATGAGATCACGTCACCTCTGGCGAAGCGAGTTATGAGAAGGGTCACTGTTGATGTATGCGATGATGATCAAATCAAAACGAGTTGTTAGTTAGTTAGCAGAAATAATCATATGATAACCAAAGCAAAATAGGCGATATTCACACCTCTTAGTTGAATCGCAACTCAGTTGAGATGAGTTACCAACTTTCCCGGCAGTCCGTGCTTCTTAGTGGGAGTAGCACACTTTGACGAAGACCAAAGGAACAAGAATGACACGGCACGCGTTAGAAAAAGCAAAAAAAAAAGAAGACTGAACATAAGATGATTACTGATTCACTGACGCAGGGTGTCACTGGAGCCGACATATCGACAAGCGAAATTGTCTTTTCAAGGCTAAAACTTCTTCACATGTCTTCTGTCGTCTGTCTTCTTCAAGTCTTCTTGAAGGCTGCTGTGTGAAGAAAAAAAGTTCACTTGTCAAAAAGTTGGTTGCAGCTGTTTCCTAAGAATTTTTTACAACGACACCTTCTAGATTTTTCTTTCTTCTGTCCTCGCCGAAGGGCGCCACTTGACCTATAAGGTATGATGATCGACCTCGTGCCCAGCTTTCTACTTATCGAAGTTTAGGGAGTAATGTATTAGTAAACATTGGACGTCGATACACAGTGCGCGGTGATGTAGCCACACCGGATGGCTTCTACCTTTGAGTCATCTAACGAAAATGCGTAAGGGATCGTCTGAGCGTTCCAATTTTAGTGTTTAGGTGGCGATACTAGCACATGGTATTAACCCATAACTGAACCCACGCCCTCAAGCTGAGTAATGCCACCCCTCAGCCACTCTTCCAATTTCAGTGTGTAGGTGGCGATAATAGCACATGACTGAACCCACGCCCTCAAGCAGAGTAATGCTACCCCTCAGCCACTAAGCTTCGACGCCATGGTGGCGCTGCGGTTACAATGCACAGTTGTTAGCCTAAAGGTGGCTCGTTCAATCCCAACCGCGGTAGTCGAATTTCGAAGGAGGGGAAATTATGTACGTGTATTACGTCTATTGTGTGATGTCAGTGCACGTTAAAGAACATCTACTACTACTACTACTACTACTACTACTACTACTACTACTACTACTACTACTACTACTACTACTACTGCTACTGCTACTGCTACTACTGCTACTACTGCTGCTGCTGCTACTACTACTACTACTACTACTACTACTACTACTACTACTACTACTACTACTACTACTACTACTGAGCTGCCACGGCAGGCACAAGAACGCAAATTATTTATGTTAGCTGTGTATTTTATGTGTTCTTTACCATATAACGCTAAATTGTTCTCCGAACTTTGGTGGTTAAGATCGTTGTTTTAGCATGATCACCGTGCAGTAGCCAGAGGGCGCTATCTAGATCTCACTTATCGGCACATCTTCTCCGA